CTTTTTGTTTTTTTAGATAACCCTTTCCACTCGATGCCGTTAAAATTCATATTAATTTTGTAATTCGAGAGTGGAAAGGGTTAACTTTATCACACTTATGACTTTAGCATACTTATAACTTTAGCACTTATGACTTGAGGAAACTTATGGCTTTAGCACACTTGTTACCTAAAAGTGAGTTTACCTTGAAACAAGTCAAAAAAGTTCAATAATAATAAAAATAATTAATACCAATAATTAATTAAAATTTAAGATAGTATAAACTAAACAAACTCAATTAAAATGTGATATTACAGTATTTTATGTGAAAAGTCGTGTACAGAAATAGTGCAACGAGAATTTAGACAAACAAAGATTAAATTTATTTCAAACTGCATGTTGTTTTTATGTCTCTGTATAACAATAATATAGGTCCATCCATATGTTATGTAAATCGAATTCGATTGAAAGTGTAATTTTGTGTATGTTTCGCGTTCTCTTTATATTGCACGGATGTAAATCTAAAATAGCCCGATTATATCAGATCCGTATTTTTTTTAATTCAGATAACCAAATATGTTTTTGAATATTCAAATCAATAATTTGGTAATATAATGTATGTTTCACTGTAACATGAGTATTAACTATTATATCTTATGCATACTTGATATGCGACAACAACTCTAAAATAAATTTAAAAAAATATGCATTGTTAAAGTCGTTAAACGTTAAAAAATTTAAAAATTACTTGAAAATGAATTGTATATGTAAATATCATATAAGCAGTACGGTCTCTTATTTTCTATGAATATGATTCTTCATATTAATTCCAATTTATTTTACATTCTCCTACTTTTTGTATTAGAGTAAAGCTAACATATGTATCATCAACATATGTATATGTGTGTATATATAATAATTATATATGTATATATATATTTATATATATATATATATATATATATATATATAATTAGAAATTGAACATATATAAATTTTTATTACAAACAAGTATTGATTTTAAAATACTATATCATCAAAGTTTTACATCTACATATAATCTTTCAATTACAACTCTGTTATTCTGCGGTATTGAATACATATAACATATACGATTGTTTGATATATCGTTGATCTGATGTAAACATGGGTACGAAATACCTCTTAAAATCTCAAGATGTTCAGTTCGGTATCGACCATATTACGATCACCATGTGCACAAAATTAAATTTGTTAATTTTACATTTTCAATGATTTTATAATCAAATCGATGTTAATAGTACAGTGTCTTTTAAATAATGTGTGCCTATAAAACTGTCGATGTGCAAATTAATATCAAAAGCACTTTGAGTATTTAAAGAAGATTTCTGGAACTGCAAATTGTGTACTTACGTTCCAATTTATTTGTGTTGTTTAAGTGTATCCAGTGAAAATAAACATATATACATGTAGATATATAACAAATTTGTAAAATCAAAAATGCGAAATACTCATTTTCAGCTTCTGTTTCGTTTCAGTTTTTGCATTTGCTTTCATACCATTTATGCATGATTCATTGATAATGATTAACTATAATATTCTCTAAAATACACATAAAATCTAAATTTGTTGCACTCGAAAGTGATCCAAAATAGTTTATTTGCATTCATATAACACAGGCCGAGTGCATCTATGTTTATAGTATGCTTCTCCCATAAATTTTGAAAACGTAAATTGTAGAATTACTATAATATGCATATATATATATATATATATATATATATAAAGATAAATTTGTATGATAAATCATTTTCAGGTATTACAATTCTCGTCTTGTATAGTTATCATTACTTGATTTGGCAAAAATGTAGTGTGTTAGATTAATCATTAGCGTACGGATTAATCATTAAATCTAAGCTACCCTCGTTTAGAAGGGGTTTTATGACTCATATACACAAAAAACACATGTCACTTATAACAAACTAAAATGAACTAAATACAATTTTGGATTTACACCTGCTTCATCATTTTTTTGTTAGGTTTCAAGTTTATTTATTATCCCATCAATTCAATGTTGAGTTAAATTTAGAAAACATTCTATTGAATGGATGGAAACATTCTATTGTATCAAGTAACATCTGTACTAGTATCGGTCTTCAAGCACACAGTAAAAACATCAACATAAATTAATATAAACATATGTAAATATGCGTTAGATTCATATGTTTGTTGAATTATATTTATATAATTGCTAATAATATGTAAAGCCTGGACGCAAAATTAATGACAATATAAACAGATATTGCACGCATCTTGGTTTTTATAGAGCGTATCAATTTTATGAAAAATCTACATATAAATATATAATGTTCTAAAATAATTAAATTTTCAATGCGGAGTAAACGTATTTCAAAAGGTACAGGGCGTCTCCACCGCGCTGAATGTACAATGTAGCAACATGTACTCTAAGTTTTTATATATACACTAGCTGACCCGGCAAACGTTGTTTTGCTAATGTAAATGTAAGTAATGCTCTTTTTCAGTCTTGGTCGCGGCATTATTATTAAACTTCACTTCACCTTATATATATATATATATATATATAGTCTTGGTCGCGGCATTATTATTAAACTTCACTTCACCTTATATATATATATATATGAATTAGAATGAAAAACGGGCTCTAAACTACCTCTCTGCCACCAATTACTGAGCCACAGCAACGCGTGGCCGGGCTAGCTAGTATTTTTTTTATATATATAAATATACTATCAATTGAACTGAAAATCGGGATAAAAAAGTCCGGCCTAGTATCCTAAGTCCTTCTCCTGGCTCTAAACTATCTCCCTGCCAATTTTCATCTAAATCGGTTCAGCCGTTCGTGAGTTATAAGTGTTAGCACATAAAGCGATCCTCTTTTATATATATATATATAAATATACTATCAATTGAACTGAAAATCGGGATAAAAAGTATCCTAAGTCCTTCTCCTGGCTCTAAACTACCTCCCTGCCAATTTTCATCTAAATCGGTTCAGCCGTTCGTGAGTTATAAGTGTTAGCACATAAAGCGATCCTCTTTTATATATATAGATATATATAATATATATATATATGTATATATATATATATATATATTACAAATGTATTCTGAGTGGATAATAGATATTAATTTGGAAATATGAACAAACAACACTCTTTTTGCACTAATTTATTAAATAATAATTTTCACAAACGTTTCGAGACTAGGTTTGTCTCATCATCAGTGTGTTATAATTAAAAAATAGAGTTAAATTTTTATTAGACAAACAATCAATAACCACACATTGCTCAAATCACTTGTCTGTATCAGAAAATAAATGTTTTGTGAATTTTCCATATATAGACAAAGATTTACACCTTTTATCTAAAAGGCTTTTTAATAAACATAATATTAACATATCCGTGTCACCCTTACTACAACTGCAAGACATATACACAAACATTAAAGACAATACACCTATTAAAAAAAGAAAAGATGTGGTATACAAAATAAACTGTTTGAACTGTGAGTCATCTTATATTGGGCAAACATGCCAAAATTTAGAAAAAAGATTAAGACAGCACGAATTACAAAGCAAACAAAGTAAGAATAATAACATTCAACAAAAAAGTACACTTGTAGACCACGCTATCTCTAACAGCCATAGTTTCGATTTCAATAATCCGCACATTTTATATTATGAACAAGATTTATTTAAAAGAAGTATAGCAGAATCGATGTTAATAGCCCATACAAGTAACACAGTAAATTTACGGACAGATACCAATATATTACATGATACATACCTGAATCTCATTCATACTTTGTAACTTATGTATAGATGTACATACACTTTTAATTATAACAATGTATAACAAATCTTATAAACAAACCATCTCATCATAGAATATTTTTTCTCCTAACGACATCTATTTTTCAACTGGACCCTAATCCTTTTTTTTTTCCTATCTGATTGAGTGACTTTACAATTTCAAGTGGTTTTCAAGTAGGAGAGAATACGAATACCGAAGACAGTGGTATGCAGCGTGCAGTGAACGACTTGTAATGAAAAACACAACATGCTAATTTAGATTTCCATATTTTAAAAATTTTTTTAATTATAACACACTGATGATGAGACAAACCTAGTCTCGAAACGTTTGTGAAAATTATTATTTAATAAATTAGTGCAAAAAGAGTGTTGTTTGTTCATATTTCCAAATTAATATATATATATATTCTAATTTGTTTATCAAAAATACTGTAACATATTTATAAATTTTTAAGCATCTAATTTTTGCGATACGTCTACGAACCATGCATAATTACTTTTATGTGGAAATATTTATTCAGCCCATTATTTATATTCATATCATAAACACTGCATGATGAAACTATTCTGAAATATGCTACGGCGGTTTGATTTATGATATCAAATATTTACAGCTTGGATAAATTTAAATTCTATCGATATATTTATAGATTGAAATTCAATTTCACACATTTGACTATGTGTTCAAGTACGAATTGATTTTCAAATAACGAGAAAATATGTTACATCATATGACCTATGAGATTACTATTACTTTATCATTGTTTGATATATTATTATAAATAATTTTAAATTTAGTATAAAAAAGTATAATGCACTAATTTGAGAGAAAGTTTTTCAAATTTCATAAAATCATATCATTTTTAGTGTGCTTGCATGCTCAGTAGATAATATAAGCAAGCGTAAATTTTATCTCATCTATAACAACTCAAAATATTTTTTTTAATTTTTAATAGTGCTAGCGTGTGTATAGAATTCATAAAAATAAAATTCTATGATTTCTCAAGCATAAATGTGAAGATTGCTTGCAATAGAGTTTAGCTAACAAGTAAGACTTTTGTCTGAAATGTGAAATGTGCAAACATAAACTATACGTGTTGAATTGCAAAAACACTTTATTATGTCATAGCTGTTCAAACTTTTTGGTGTTCTAATTTATAAATCGATAAACAATTTAACGTTATAAATCATGAATAGTAACGAATCCAGACGTATTTCTGCAACAAGCTTAAGTCCAGGGATTCCTTTAATGGACGCATCGTTCCCGTTTGCAAATGCAGTTGCCTTATACATCGATGATAACTCAGGTTGCTCTAGTCGTGGAAATACTCCTTCTCCGCGGTTTTCTAAAAAGAGTGATACTATACCAGTAATATACTTAGATTCATATGACGATATTTTAACTGTAACATCAAGTGGACAAAGCGTGAATCATGGCTTGATACTTTCGCCGTCTATTGAAATTTACGAGTTGGGGCCGACTGTAAGTTCTAAGAAACGCGGTTCTAAGCATATTAGAAGACACAGTGAACGACCGGCGAGGGTGCGGAAACATTCTGCGCCTTTGATGAGGAGTAATTCTGCGCAAGTACAAAGGAAGAAATCTGACTCCGGGCTAAGTAAGTCTAGGAGAAGTAGCACGCAATCAAGGCAGAAATTCAGCGATGAATTAATGAAACCAGTTACACCAGAAGCGCACAGGAAAGAGAGTAGAAGACGAAGAGCTGTTCTTATAGTTATGATAGTGTTTTTAGTTCTGGTGGCAGCAAGCGTTTTGGCTGTAGTTGTTACGCTGACTCACACTACAGCAGACAATTCTACATTGACTTATTATACATTTGCAAAGCCTTCAGTACAAGCTAGATCTATAGGTTTGTTCATAGGAATTCATACAAAAAGATTACTAACACTTCATAACTTTCTGATAGACAATATTTTAACTAATACGTACTATTGAAATTAACAATTATATTTTCAACAGTAGTCTTTATAACAGTACTCTTGTTACGGTTCATGTTAAGATTATTTTAAAAAACCTGATTTTTTTTTTCACAAAAAAACATGCAAAAGTATCACTATTACTTTTCAATATTCTTATAGACAATATTAAAATTAATACCTTTAAAATTATCTATAATATTTAACGACAGTAATCTTCACAAAGTCACTGTTTTCGGTATAGTTTGTATTTATTTATCAAAACATGCATTTCATCATTTTCTTTGGTCTTTGATCTATATTTCTTGACAATTATTTCAACAACGTAGTAATTTACTACATTAATAATATACAGTTGGTGAAATAATTATCAAGAAATGTAGATAAAATAGTTTACTGGTTTACCGATTCATACACCGGTAAAATTGGCTTATAAATATATATACACACTGGTATACTTGGTATACTCGTGTATAAGTTGGTGATTAATTCGATGGGGCATTTTACATTTTTACTGCAGCAGTTTCTTGATTTTACTTGTGATATAACGGTGCTTGATTCATAATTCATGTAAATATTTTAACATTTAATTAACAAGAATTAATCATTTAATTAACAAGTATGTGTCTATCACAGTAGTCAACTTGTAGTAGAAGTGATAAAAGATTTATTGAAAATATCCACACGCCTAATTTGGTGATTAATTTGAAGGGTCATTTTACATTTAATTGAATGTATACATTTTGCCATCAAAATTTTATATTTTGTTTTACGATAGTAAAACTTTAGATAGTAAGTTCATGAATATACTTCTTTCTTATTAAGGGTTATATGCATTTATTTCATTACTTTGAATGGTATATGAATTATATTTTTTATAAATTTTGAGACAGTAGTCAATTTGTAGTAAAAATGGTTCAACCTTAATGCAATTACACTCTTACATTTAGATGATATATGAATTTGCAAGATTTATCCACTCGCATAAATTCGTGATTATTTCGAGGGTTAGTTTTGCATTTAATTTATCATGTATTCATTTATTCAAAGTTACGCAAACTAGTAACTATCATAGAACGAGGGCATATTATGCTATCATTTAGTATGAAATTGACCCATTTGCGTTCATACAATATTATAAGACTCCGTTAATATAAAAATCCAGAATCATATCCAAATATGCCTAGATTCATAATATCGTAAAAAAAATTATTCTCATTTTTAAACAGTAACCAAAAAGTAAAATGAGAGTTGTACTTCGAAGCTTTTCGCTGCTTTTTATATAGCAACCTAAAGATTCGCCTATTTGATTATTATTTAATCACTTTTAACATTTTATCTAATACTAATTATATATTTCAATTAGATGCATGAATGCCCGGAAATGGCTATTTATACTTGTAAACTATCTATATTTTCAAATAAAAATGGATATCACCACTATTTATATTTAGGAAGAAAAATATTGATTGATTCATACAATTACACCGTTCAATTTATATCTTATAAACACAAGCAAAAATTATCAACCGTATAACTCAATTATTAATTCGGGGAATTGTTTTACATTTAATTAATCGTGTTTCTATTTATTCAACACTTGATATCTCAAATATAGAATTATAAATATATATTTTAAAAATGTAAATGGTACAAATTATATGTATATAAAATATTATTGTTCACAAATATTGAATTTAAATTAGTTTATCTGTGATTGTTCATCTGATTATCAAAGAAAATTTGAATATTATATATGTATCAATAATGTAACTCACATATATAAAAATATGCGGGCGCACGTCTTAGGGGGTGCTAAAATGAGATTCAGATATGAAATTTTTGGTTTGCAATATCATTCAAAAAATATATTATTTCTTTGCATTTTTTACTAATCTTGGACAATATTTTTTAAACTTAACTTTGAAACAACAATCTGATAGACGATGGGAAAGTATAGATTAATACAAATACTGCGTCCCTTACGATATCAATTAGGAGAAGTTTACGATGTAATTTTGGATATTTTAAATAATGAAAAATTAAATTAATCCAACATGAAATACCAGTGTTATGTTTAATAATTAGAGGCTAGAATTTTTTTGCTCTCTATGATTTACTCAATAGAATAAATTGCATAAAGTCGATATAAATATAATATATATATATATATATATATATATATATATCATAGGTATAGGTACCAATTTCAATGTCACCCTAATTTGAATTCATTTCATTCACAGTCCGGGAGGAAAATGAGCGATTGATGCGAGAGGCAATGAACAGGGAAATATATACAAATCCGAATGCAACAGATGGCAAATAGCAAAATATGATTATCAGTGCGGACACACGTGAATACATTCAATATTTAGGCAAATACTCTAGGAAACATCATGCCACACATGAATTGGATGTTATAGATAAACAGTGTATTAAGTCCTGTTATTTTATCGCATGATACTAGTAGATATCATAAATATTATTGAAATATTGCCAATTATTTTGATATAATTATGAAAATTATTTTTTGCTGTATAATTGGCAGAATTATTCTGATTCAAGATTAAATAATGGTCATTAATGGGCAACAAACAAGAGTTTACAAAAATTGGATTGATTCCATCGAGACATCAAAATAAGCTACAAAAATTTGTGGCAATTTTATCTATTATATTCGAAGCAAAGAATGTAGCAATAAGGTAGCCTATGGTAGCCTGTCTTATTTTAGTAGAGAATAATTAAGCCGATGCATTTAACCACTTAAAGTTTTGAACGCTTGAACAAAATCCTATCATTGATCGCAATTGAAAGCTAATAAAAAAATTGAAATAATTGATTAGGGATATGTTTTTCAAAATTTATTTGAGATCTATACATTTCGTCTAACGTCTTACCTTTCATTCAGTATCAAATTTTGGTATCCTTATATGACAATTAACGAAAACACTATTACTCTATGGTCTAAATTCTATGAATTAGAAAAAATCCCAAACTCAGAACAGTCAGTACACAGTTTCGATAACTTACTAAATATCTATACATTTGTGTGGTTTGTTGTAACGAGCACATTCTAATACATGGAGCATAGTATTTTCATTAAGGATACCAAATTTTGGCATGTCCACTGAATGAAGGCTAGAATGTTAGCCGAAACGTATAGATTTCTAAAAAAATTTTAAAAACATTCATACATTTTTTATTTGAAGCAACGCTCAATTTTTAAACCTAACTAATATATAATATATCAAAATCAAAATTTTACAAATATATATGAATATATATAGATATTATATATATATATATATATATATATATATATATACGAGGTGTGTTCAAAAAGTACCCGGAATTACTAATAATTAAATTTCGCGGGTCTGGAGTGTCTGATTGTCAAAATTTTTTTTTTATTGTGTTGGTATACATGCCCCTAAAGTATGATGAAATTTTCAGCTATATTCACTGTTTACTTTGTCTGTGGTAGTCGCTAAGGTTCGACGTGTTTTTCTGAGCTCGGCGATTTTTACAATGGAAGAATTGAAAAGTCAAAGAATTTGTATTAAATTTTGCGTAAAAAATGAAATAAAGTGTTGCAAAGTGCAAAAATTCACCAGATATGGCTCCGTGTGACTTTTTCCTATTCCCAAAGTTGAAGAGACCCATGAAAGGACGGCGGTTTTCCTCGATTGAAGAAAATCGCTGAGAGTGCTCAAGGACATATCAAAAAGTGAATATCAAGGGTGCTTCGAAAATTGGAAAAAACGCTGGCATAAGTGTATTATATCTGGGGGGGACTACTTTGAAGGGGACCACATTAATGTAGACGAATAAATAAATATTTTTTTGAAAAAACGAAAATTCCGGGTACTTTTTGAACAGACCTCGTATATAACAACAATATTGCTCACAGTCAGTATAATTTATGCCAATTATATATCATATTATTTTGCATACTAACAAAGGATTTTAAATTTCATCAAACATTGCTATTGATCAATTTGTGATATAAGCCAAAATATTTCATGTTATAATACAAATTCAGTTTAATACCTTTTTATCGTGTAAGCGAAATTGTGTTATTTTGTCAAGTAGATAGATGTACTTGACTGATTAGGCAAATTCCAGAATTTTGCGTATTAAGAAACAATTATATAAAATTCGGTTTCCTCATGTTAGTGTTCATATAAAGTTAGCGAATGTGCATTTTTATAAAATATATGATATGTATAGATCATCATAACAATATAATAATATCATTATATGGACATACGAGCTTATTTATAAATTATTAGTGTATTTTGTGTCAATGATTTTTAGATTTATAACATTCAAGTGGACTCTTTCAAAAGGTATTCATATTTAAATGTATATATTATACATGTATAGTTATAAATGTTGTTAATTGACTTATTCGAAAATATTTATATTTCATCAATATTGAAAATACGGCAGTAAATTATATTAGAATACAATATTAAAAAATAAATCAATTATTCAAAGACTAAGGCCTCATTTTGTGGCAACCTGTCCAATTCATATCTAGATCATCACTAAAATAAGAAGTTTCCATAAATTGAAACTAAATTTAAAATTCTATCCCATTAGACGAACGTGCATTGTAACTAAAAATCCTATTACAATATAAATAATTGAGAAATTCTTAAATTCTTTGATATTCTTCAAGCACAAAATAATGTTTAAAATTTGAGGTCGTCAATACAACTGCTGAAATTGATTTAATTACTTCTGTATAATAATTTGATAGTGTTAAAGATGAATGTTAAAATACGTAGAAATTTATTGAACCTATTTAATTCTAGTTTATCCATGTTTGAACCACAAATATATGCATATATCATAGAATAATGAAAAATAAGAGAATATATATAATCAATTTGCTTTAGGCGAAAGAAAAATATAAAATAATTAATATGTTAATTCAAATGATTGTATTTTGCATTATTTGTAAATGTGGAAATTTTTATAAAAGATAGAAACATTGGCGATCCTCAATCCTCTATACTAGTATATATGTACTTGCTGGTTAGCTATTTTAAATCAAAACTATAAAAAAAATATTTAAGAAATAACTTCTATATTATCGATTCAAATAAATAAATATAAACTAAACGTAATATTGGTTAAAAATAGAGCCTAATATTTTAATAGACATATAATGCCTACGATTTAAAGTACTGCTGTACAAAGCACGAAATTTAATTCTTTTTTTCTAGTAGTTAAAATAATCTAGTGTTAATGCAATAAATTCTAAACTACGATATTATGCACTTTTATGCAAATATCAAGACATGAAATATCATTATAAATGTAGAAAAAATATTCTAAACCTCTGACTAATCTTTGGTTTCGAAGAAAGATTTGTTATTTCATCCAATATTAATTATTTAGACAATCAGATCATTTAAAAGTTACCATAACCTGTATCATTTTGGAAGAAATATTGATGACGGTATATCAATGTTTAAATCTTAAAATAATTTATGTCGATGTTGTTAAAATTATATAAAAATACATACATACAAATGAATGTATGCATGAACATATATGATTGTTAATTCGTATTAGAATATTTTTATGATGTATAATAAAATTGTTTAAGAGAAAACTATTGAACTTCTTTTCAAATCCTTATTTTTTCAGTGATATCTTTAAATTTAATTTTATGTCTATTAATTTTATTTCCATATGCTATGTTTTTGCATTGAATAGCGAGATCAAAGTAATACTTATATCTTTTGTACAGTAGAGATTATTAAAAACTACCCTTTGTGGAACGGCTTATTGGAAACAATATGCCTAACTTGGAATTACGTAATATAGATATAGTATACTATATCTTATATTAAAAAATATATCATGAAACCTTTTAAATCTCACGAACATTGTACTCTATTAAAGCATATTGTATCAAGCATATCTATTGTAGCAAAATAAAATATCTGCAACAAATATATAAAAATGTTGATTATATTGAAGACAAAATAAGAAAGACGAAATAAATGTTGCTCTTAAAGAATATGAATCTCGTAGCACAAATTTTCAAAAGAAAAAACCAACATCTTGATTGAAGTGTTTGATTGTAAAGTTAAAAGGTCAAAGAAAATAAAATGATTATTATTAAAATAAAATAAAAGTACAAACTATAAACTTCGCCTAGCTTAAGCTTTACACATTTTAAGGATTTAAGAGTCTAATTATTCTTTTAAATTACCATAATTAGTGTAAATATTTTTTCATTTCATTTTGTGCATTGATTTTTTTTAAATAGCATATTTCACATCAGATCTGTCCATTAATAGAATTATATTGTTAAAAAAGCGCGTTTTATTCAAATATTCTTCACAATAAGGCAACATTAGCGCAAGCATGACAGATACGCCGCATATCGAAGCCGCTTACAAAAGTAGTACGAGTTGCGCTTCCAAGGTTTCCCGCGCTGGCTTGTTTATTGTGTGTACGCCGCGACCGTGCGATTGAATCGACTGACGCATTATACCATCTCTTTTGGCGTAGAACATTTAACACTAGACGAGAAAGGGACGACGCTAGCAATCTTCTGACAGGTTCAACAGTGGCCAGAGTAGAGCCACTACGTTCTTCAAGTCGGCCATTACTGATGTCCGTCATTCCTGTTTTGAAAGCCAAGCCGTGTGCTAGTACGTGGGTCATTTTTAGTGATTTTGTGGTGTGATTTTACACAATAAATAAAGGATTATAATATTGTGTTAGTGTACTATCTGAGAAAAAATGGAGAAGAGAATAGAATTAGAGAAACGGGGCAGAACTCCTAGCGAAGTGAGTAACGTTTCTTTTAATCATATTTGGCTATATTTTACTAATTACTGCTCGGCAAACGTAATAATTCGGTTAATATACCAGTTAAATAATATTTAACGCATTTATTACGTGAGCACGACATATTTGATCATTTTGACAATGCGGTCTTACAAATTTAGTTCGAATATCCACATTTATATATTTTCTATATTGAGTATTGTTCTATATATTCCATCCATTCATATTTTTATTTTCTGCAAACAACAAAGTGTTGAGCTTTATCAAGCTTGATATTATTGTTTTAAAATTTGCATGAAAGTATCATATGGGAGAAGTTACATCTTCGACGTCATCTCAAAAGCTCTGGATTCCAGTTACTGTGCTAAAATCAAAATTTCGTGAAAATCACATTTAATTTCACATTCTATTTAATTTATTCGCGAAAACTATGATTAATGAATTGTTAATTAATTATTACATTAGCTAAACAGTTTTTTTACTATTGACGCCATGTTGTAAAATTAAGATTAAATTGATATTATTTGGTCGATCCAACGTTTAATTAATTCAAAACAATTCTTTATCTTACATAATCAACCATCCATCATTTACAAGTCAACAATATTATTTTCGCGCCCATAACTTTAAATATCTCATTCTCAACTTTACTACCATGTTGCGAAGTGCATCGAGAGTCGGCTTTGTTTTCGCCGCGTGATAAATGTAAACAAATAATTTTAGCCGGATGCCATAGCAAATTATATATTACGAATTATCGCTTTGCATCATTTTAGTATTTTTGAAGACTGACACTTTTTTTAGGTTGTAAAATTTAATTTCATTGCACCAATTCATATATTGGGAATTCGGCCATATTGGAATTGCGACGTTTCATAATATCGCCGCCATTGCTGTTACACTGCATTGTAGAATTTTGACAACAGTTTTAAGTATAAAAGACTCGAATTTCGCTATCAAAACAATTGTTAACACATAACTCATATTGCTAATTCCATGTTAAGGCTTATTTTAGTGCTCAAACATCACTTATTTAATTGAGTTCGGGGGCTGGGCGTCAGCACCCACTTCTACTCTTTCACTTTACAAAGCTCGTGCTAGACTGTTCTTGTCGTTTGTATGTAGTCATCGGACGCGCGTTTATACTTATGGCGCCAGAGAGCATGCCGTTCAAAAAGTGGTTAGCAACGTAAAAATTTCTAAAACTAAATAATGATTGTATAAAAACTGTATATTCGGTTAAATTAAACATGAAGATGAGTAAATTAGATCATTCTGAAATTTTGAAAACTTACAAAATTCAATAGCAATTGTCAATAACATTTTTTTTTTTGTAATTATTATCAATTATTATGTTTGATGACCGTTGTTAATACATTTGTCTTTTTTAGATTATTGAATTAAATTTGGACAACTGTCGGAGCACTACTATTATTGGTCTCACTGATGAATTCACAAATTTAAAAAGTTTGAGTCTCATTAATGTTGGCCTTACATCATTAAAAGGATTTCCAAAATTACCCAACCTAAAAAGGCTAGAACTCTCCGATAACAGGTACATATGCTAGGAGAATATGTATCTCAAGTTTTCTGAATGTCAAAGTTTCAATATATTGAAATGAAAATATTTATTATTTATTACATATTAATCTTTTGTTTTATTTATTTAGGATATCTGTTGGTCTAAATTTGTTACACACAAGTCCAAACCTTACTCATTTGAATCTTTCTGGGAACAAAATAAAAGATTTGGAAACATTGCTACCTTTAAAGGAACTAAAACATTTGAAAAATCTTGATCTTTTTAACAATGAAGTCACATCAATTGAAGATTATAAAGTCAAAGTATTTGAACTTATTCCTTCACTTAAATATTTGGATGGGTATGTTAAAATAATATTTTATAACTAAAATGTTTCTTTGTATGTCATAATTTAAATGCTTTATTCTATTTTGATTTTATTAGTTTTGATTTGGACAATGAGGAGGATGAAAGTGAAGTGGAATTTTTTGATGATGAGGAAGAAAATGGAAATGAGGATGAAGAAGAAACAGATGAATCAGATGAAGGTAAAATTTTATTAAATATAATAGCATTAATTTTTTCTCTTGAACTATGTTATGCCATGCAAACGCTATTGCCACTCCCATTCTGCTGAAAGAAAGAAACGATTAGGCAAATTTAAAACGATGAGTACTACTTAACTGAACCTTGCTCTTTCTAAAACGTTTTATTATTATTACTAAAAGAAGTATGAATAATGTATGTTCTGCTACAATATTTATCATACTTCTACTGAGCTATTTTAAAATTATATTTTGGAATACAATTGCTCTTGGAAAATGTTTTTCTATAACTTGAGGAAATTTTATTCTTTAAATGTTGTATCAAATATCAAATGAAATAAGAGCATTACCCCAAGAGCGTAATTTTGGGGTTTGCAGGAGGTGGGTTGGACATAGATCTTGCAAATCTTGATATTTCTGATGGAGAAAGCCCCGAAACTAGGAATGGGTACACATCATTTCCAATTCTATTGCTCACTGTGATGGGAATGCTTTCATTGGCAGGATCACTATATTGTAAGCATAGTTCTGAAACAGAGAGAAAGCTTGACTCACAAATTTTTCGAATGGAATGACAGTATTTTGTATTGGATTTGATTCTTAGATGAAATATTCTGAATGTTTTGTTGATATTCATGTTCTGTTATCTAGTGTGATTTTAATTATACATTTACATTATCAAAATTCTTTAGCAAAATAAATAAATATTTGTTCAAATAATTATCTTAAATATTGGACAATGTACTTATAAAGATTAAAATGGTACAATAAAAAACATTAATTTTTGGTAAATTTTAAGTTTAAGGTGAATAATTTATTGATTATCTTATGTGGCTGCAGTTTTCAACTGGATTAATTATTTTTGTAATCTCTTATAATGACAGATCTTAAATTTGTAGATTCATCTGACTATTATGAAGAAGGAAATGCTCGAAATAATGAGCTAGGACTTTCAGCGGTGTTTGATGATAATGTTCTTGACATGAGTGATGAAACTGATTATGAAGCAGGAGAAGAAGGCAATGAGGAAGAAGATGATGAAGATGGAATTGAAGAGGAGGAAGAAGAAGAAGAAGCAGAGGAAGACCAAGCTGCTACAGCGGAAGCAAATGATGGTGAGAACAATATTGAAATAATTATTTAATTTGTGCATGCAGTAATTTTGTTATAGACAATAGGAAATTATTTTGGTTTTTGAGGATATCTTGATTACAATATATTTCGAAATGATGATGTGCAAACGTCGTAACCACAGTAGTTTGGTTAGCTTATATATACTCATGCTTTATTGTGTTGGATATGTATTTTCAAATACATTTTTTACATTAGATTTTTTTACATTTTTCAGCTGATTCACCAGCTCGGGGAAAGAAACGGAAGCTGGAAGATGGTGAAGCCAATTAAAGCTATATTTTGTAATGTGAATGTGATGCTGAATTAAAGGTGTGGTTGGACCCAGAATGCTAGAGGAACAGTTGTGAATCGATTGTAAATCATATATACTAAGCTGTACATCCCGATGATTGAAAATTGACCAATTTAATGCAAAATTTCATCTGGAAAGATAGCAGAAAAACTGGTAGAGTTTTACGGTTTTTTGAATATCCATCTTTTTTCTAAATTTTCTATGAACATATTTTAAGTGGAATAACATTTTCAAAATATGGTGGTTGCAATATTGCAAATTCTCGTATTTGATATTATTTTTCAATATTTCCTTATATGCCTGATTATAAAATAAAAATGCTTGAGAATTTTCAGAAGTTTTAAACCAGAGTAAACTTACTATTATAATTTTTGTACATTATGAGTATATTATTTCCAATCTCTAATACTTTGATGAATAATACTTCAAATTTTACATTTATTATGTTTAGTCTCAAATATTTTCACTTTATAAAAATTATTGTACTGTCTAATTTGTAATACATTGTGTTACATCACAATAATATGTTATATTCGAAATCTACCAATTTGGTCTTGAAATTCCTAGAGTTGATTCGATTTTAAAAGAAAATCGTCCTTCCTTGGTATATATTTTTATGTGTACATAAATAATATTTATGTATGGTTAGTCATAATTAGGACCATGTACATTTGTATGTGATGATTAGTCTGTCTGATAATGATTGGTGTTTGGCTCTTGGTTGTGTGTTGCATACGTTTTGGTTTAAACATTACTATATAATAGTTGTTTAATGTTATGTTTTAAATTCTTATTTTCATTAATGTTACTATGAAGCATTATCGAATAGTTATAATGATTTATTATGTAAGTTTTTTCATGATTATTGCTTTATAGTAAAATTGAAATGTGAATATAGTATATATTACAAAGTCTGTATGTATTGTCCTAGTGTCATTGTTCTCTTTTATGTTACATTGTATAAGCAGAATTTTCTTATTTCAATTTTACGAGCATTTTCATCTTTTATATAGTTATAAGTTGTGACATTTATTTTCTATTTTCTTACAATAGATTACATTTTAATGGCAAATTGCCTTATTTATGTATGATTTTTATTATGATATCGATATTGATAAAAGAATAAAATAGATTTATAATACAAAGTAAGAGAACATTACTAATATTTTATTTCGGCTTATGTATTTACACGTGATTAGATTACATATTTTTTTAAGTATTTAGTGTTTGCTTTCAACATACTTTTAAACATATTAGTCCCATCAGCAATTGCTGGTTTTCATATTATTTAGTTTGTGATCCAAAATAATCAGGTAATAAACATAACTAAAGTTATTTTTCCCAATAAAGTTCATTTGCTAACTATGTATTCTAAGGTAATGTTTTCAAACAATTCGTGAATAATTTGCCCTGTCAAAAAAAAAGAATTGCGGAAAGTCTCCTTTTTATTTATTTAAACTCACAAAGGTTTCAGAAGAGAGATATTTTTTTTTTTGTTGTGTGAATAATACGTGTTATTTACATAAGGAATAAGAAAGCTTTTAGTGTTTTTTGAAAAATATTAGTGTATTAATTTTTTTTTTAAATAAATAATCAATATTTACATAAAAAATATTTCTTGTGTGGTTCAAAGTATATTGAGCAAAATGTCAGAAGAGGGATTTTTTAGGTATCTTTAGTTTTTGAGATATGATTTTGTTCTTAAAATTGTGATCTTTACCTTATAATTTACAATAGATTATTATTTATTTCATTATTTGAGCTGATTCATGGACTTTTTTAAATAAGTAAGAAAGGTGAATAATTGTGTCCTAAAAAAGCCAAACTGCTAGAATGGGATCGTTCAAGTATTACGTAAGCAGATTTATCACAATTATTTACCCCCCCCCATCCCCCTTGTCACCAAAAGTAAGCAAAGCTCTTACCCCCTACCCCCATGCTTACGTAAACATTTTGCAATTAATGTAAAAAAATAAAAATACTACCTATGACATAATCATCATCCAGACTCCCCTGCCCGCCATGTCAACCCAAAATAAGCAAATCAACAACCCCCCGCCCCCCTATAGTGCTTATGTAATACTTGAAAGGCCCCAATATATGAAGCTCATTATATTAAAGTTAATTCAAGATGGGAATCGATTAATTTTAAATATGCTGGAATTGGCAATTATAAAACCCAAAAAATATTTATTGATCATCACAGGAATTATTTATGATGTAAATATTGAAATAATGAAACAACTGTACTCGTATTAACTATTAACACTGAAATGAAATATATTTTTGCTTAACTTAATTTGTTAGAAAGAAATCCACTAAAAGCTTTACTTCCTTATATGAATAGCATACATGTTGTTTATATATTAAAAAAACTTTTACACCTTCTGAAACGTTTCTGAATTTGAAAAATGTTAGTAAACAAAAATGAACAAAAACTGTTTCTGAGAACCTTCTAATTTTGCCGGTATTGACTCGTCTAAATAATATGTATTGTTAACATTTACAATACAAAAAAAATAAGATATTGTTTATAATAATAAACTCAAATTACAGCTGCATCAAATGACAGTTAAACGTCGCGCCAATTTGAATATCCTGATAACATCTGTTTTGTTTCACTAGGTCCATCTATCACCAGAAGTGGAAATTATGTCGACGGCCATTTTCGTCGTTACACAATATTTCATTCACAGTCCGGCTTCATGCGGACGCGCACGGTGTTTAGTGAATCAGTAGTACAGTTGGCTTTGGCTGGGTGGTAAAGTGCAAGATGGCCGAAAGTAAAGGTGCTCTGCTCGCCAAATCTGTGCAAAAACATGCTGGAAGGGCGAAAGAAAAGGTATGAGTCCTAATATGTCAATCAAAATCAATTAATAAACTGTGATATTGTGTGATAATTTTATTGTGACGGTGTGCCATCGTAGGACTTGGATTATAACGGCGATTGAAAATACGTTGGTTATTTTTGTATATTGTGTGGAAAATAGTGGACAATTTATTTTAAATGTGTGAATTTGATTTTAATTTATGATAAATATGAATGCTGATGTATATTATCATATTAACTCAGCTTACTTTCGTTAAATATGAATTATTCTAGTGTAATCCAAATAATTGCGTTTGACATGTCATTTCTTTCTGGATAACCTAACTTTCTGGTCCGCAAATTCTCTTCCGCATGCTCCAGTTTTATGAGTGTATTACATATATCAGCGAAGACTAGATGGATTCTATTTTTATAGGAGGCTATTTTGGTACGTTCTAGTCTCTCAGAAATGACTATTAGCATTTGTCGCTTAATATACGGATCCACTAGATTTTACACTTAGTTTTGGTTTTCTATCACATAAAAATGTGACAGTTCTCAAGAAAAATATGAAAAATCACATTGTCATAATAACAATCATTAGTGTTAGTTCTCATATTTTGATTGTTTCGTAATACTTGAAACACTTTAAGAAGTATCTCTTAAACTTTTCTTTCACGTCTACTTCAGTCAGTGGCTCCAACCTTTTCATACCGCGCCCCCCTCTGTGTTTAAAAAAAAATGTTGTCCAAAAAAATTTATTTTGGAATCCCCTAGCGTCGGCCTTGCGCCCCAAACCGCAGCTTAAATGCTGTCTGTTTAAATCTGTTCAATTTTGTCAAAAAACATTACAGTCTCAATTAGTTATATTTTATATTCCTGCAATAGGCAAATCAAGTTTTAATGTTATTTCATTTTAAATTACCATCATGTTCATTTCTGGATTTGTATTATTTTTTCTTCGATTAATTCAAGAAGCTTCTTCTCAATCATGCAGATTTAGAAGTGTTTTTAGATATGCTAGATAGAAACATAAGATTCTATCAAACGCATTACTTTAAAAATGAAATTCAGGTTTATACAAAATTGAAAAATAAATAGTCATTTGTTTTCAAGGTTTTCTGACAAATATCTTGAAAATATATTACCTCACCGTCAGTATATTTATAATAATAGGTAAAACCAATAAGTATCGAAACTCTCGTGATCTATTACAATCCTAAACTGTGGGAATAAAATATACGTCTTATAAGTTCATATTATGATATGTAGTTCGTTGTTCGAATTAAATTTTTTGCAGCGTTTTAATTAATTAATATATTTAACACGTTCTTACATTTTCTCTATACTAAAATTGACGCATAAATAGCAAAAAAGTATGACATAATCAAAGTTATATCAGTAAACAAAATAACTTCAAATTTATTTATATGACATAATTTATATAATAAACGTTTGTTATAGTGCTGGTAATGCAATATACGATTATTCATCAAGGTTAAATATACACGTACAATGTGCATGTTATGTCTTACTCAAAACATAATAACATTATCAATAGATTTGCTTTAAAACTGGAAAAATAATTCAAATATTCATTTTATAATTCAAGATTATTTTCTAACTATTTTGATATTTATATAATTATTTAATTACAGATATTTTTTATGTGCTCTCCGTGCATTTTTTCACTTATGTGCATTATTTTAATTTGAATATTTTATTGCGTGGATTTTTTTATATTTTTTTTGCTATAAAACTTGTTCTAAGATCATAATTTCATAAAGAGATAGAGATTTACAAATCTCTTAAATAGTGCTAAATTGAAAATTTTGGTTTCACTAAAAGAAGGAAATCAACCACATATGAGTTTCCTCGTATTGTATAAGGTTGATTATGAAAATGAAATTAATATCAGAATCAATTATTAATAACTATTGAAAGTGCTTCCACGTCCTTTTTTTGTTATTCTTATATGTTAATCGTATATCTTTTTTTAATTTATCAATATATTCCTTTTTATATTGATATCATTATATACCTTTACATATTCTATTTTATTATTAATCTTATCACTTAATAATAGATGCGTTTTTTTAACCTTAATGTACTTTATTATATATAAAGGAAGAATAACAGAAATTTAATTTCTAAAACAGTTTCTTTACAAATACATTTTTATTTTTAATATTTTAAATTTGTACATGCTTTACACAATGAGGTTGTAAATCATTTATCATTTGTTTATTTATTTAACGTTTTTAATGAACAATGAGACCGTAGCATTAATTGCAATATACTTAATAATGACCGTGATATTTATTACTCTGGATTCTTTTTAACCATTATGACTCTATTTACATTTAGCTTTTAAATCTGTTTATATTTTTATTACATGTTATAAAGTTTAAATGTTGTTTAGATACGGATAGAATTGTTGGAATAATTACTTATAAATGAATTATACAAAATTTTAGTAGTGATATATGTGGAGGAGCTGCTAATATTAATTTCCTTACTATTGATAATTGATTATGCACAATAATTTAATAAATAAATAAATTTTGGCAACTATAATTTACATATCGAGTTCACATTTTGTAGTTATTGAAGTTTTTTGAAGAATTAGTTTAATACTGAAGCACTTCTGGGTGTTAGAAGTTTCAAGTTCTAAAAACTTTTTATAGATAATTGTTATGTATTACTCCAGTTAGACAACACAGGGTGTCCCTGAACTCAACGTCGAGCCGAAACGGGGTGATAGTATTGACCGTAACTGTCCTGAAGTAAATAGAAAAAAATAACCTCATGTTTGAAAATTATGAGCTTTTAAAAGTCCAGTCTAAAGCTTTCTTGAAACTGTGATCCTTTTTGGGTTATTGGTGCTAATTTTTATTACTTTTGTTTATTTAAACTTTAAAACCATAACAGTAAATATATTTTTTAAAAAAAACAGTTTACATTTGTTAAAGTATACTTTTAAAATCGGTCGAATTTGAGAAGCCCTCCTTTAAAAAAACTGTACCAAAGTGTCTTGGCAAGTTTCATAAAAAAATTGGCGCATTTTATCAAGTTTATGATGTAATTTCATAATAAGTAAAACTTCCTTATATTTTATTATTTTTTACTGTGATCCTAATTAACGGTTCCAAAGTTAAAGATAAATAATAAAAATTAACTACAATAACCCAAAAATGATCACAATTTTACCAAAGCCCTAGGTTGCACTTAAATGCTGATAATTTCCAAACAACATGAGCTAATTTTTTTTCTAATTTTCTTCAGGACAGTTTCTGTCAATACTATCAAGGGGGCGTCCATTAATCATGTGAACGAGTTTTTAAGGATTTTTGGATCCCCCCTGCCCCTTGGTGATATTCAAAATTACACCTCCTCCCCCACTAAACATCACGTGTATTTTTAGTTACGTAAAAAACTGTGGATTTTTTTTAAATGTTTGAATTTTTTTGAAAAAAATATTTTAAAAATGAATACTCGTGATATCTTACTATACCCCTCCCTCCCCACATGATATTTCGTGATTTTCTGTCAAACCCCCCTTCTCCCTTAAAACATCACGTGATTAATGGACGCTCCCCAACCCGTTTCGGCTTGACGTTGAGTTCTGGGACACCATATTACAAATATATATATATTACAGCTAGAGCTGTAATTATTTGGTTTATAAACTGCATAAATAATATTGCTTATTGTATTTGATATAATCACATGAGTACTACAAGTAACATTCTGCGTAAACGCATTTCATGGCCTACTTCTGAACTTCTGATAAAATTCATATAAAAAAATCACAGAGATAATAAATTAATTGCAAATTAATATGCGTACTCTGCTTCTGCTATACTTACCCAAAAATTATGCCATAAGAACTTCATATATTGCCGCACGCATTTTGTGTCAATTGAACATTATAATTTGTTAGCGTATATATGTTTGCGTTTGTGTTTAATACGTGGAAACAGGAATCCGTTGCTTTGGTTTTGTTGAAACGGTCAATTCTTAACAACGGTATCTTGGCTCTTTGCTTCGCCCGTAAACTTCTGAGAGAACATCTGACTGAGAGTGGTTTCCACCACATTATACCACGTATTGCCGGTATGCCGACGTAAGAAATTATTGAAGTTGTGTGCGTCGTGCGTTTGACGGAAACATGTTTTTCATTATAGTAAATAATGAAGACTATTGATATTCTTCACTACTTATATCTCAAAGTGGAGATTAACTAGCTGTAAGTGGAATTCTGTCTTAAGGCAATTAGGGCATCGTGCCTTAAGGCAAATTGCTGGAACTTCCCGTACCGCAATTCAAAATTCGAGTAATTAAAAATAATCAGTAACAATAATCAATAAAAGTTGATCAATGATTTGAAACTTTTAATAGAACTTTGAACCACATTAAATCATTCTACATTAAATCATTTATTTTGAAATATTTTGAAATTCTGAACTTTTTTTCAAAGCAATCGTACTGCTTCAACTGCATAAAGACGAAATATCAATCGCGTAAGCGCCGCGTCGCCGTCTAACGCGTAAACATTGGTACGGAACCCATTGGAATGTAAACAAAATTTATACTTATTGTTAAAATCTCTCTAAAATATCTGATAATACGATGTACATATGTCTAATGTTCATTTTTGACCGCCAAATGGCTCATTTTTTTACTTTTTCCTCCATATCTCCAAAGTCTTTGGACCTGCTTTTGAATTGAAAATTTGAACAGTTCTTCATTTGGTCAATACAAATAAAATGTGTTTTGAATTCAAATCGGACGCTCCGTTCTCTTAAAAACTGAGTTACCGTTTTCGGCACTTTTTGCCTTGTATCTTCGGAACGGCTAGACCTGCCTTTGCCGAAAACTAATCAGCACGTCTCCTTATCAATACGAATCGAATGTTTTTTGAATTATTCAAATCGGTTGATCTGTGATCCCGAAATCGTCGACGAAAATTTGTATCCGAACATACATACATACACGCACACACACACACATACATCCTTTTTTTTAAGGTA